TATGGTTAATGTTAATATTATATATATACAAAACAATATTTTGAAAAAATCTATCAGTGTATAATGATTAAAAAAAAAACATTTTCCAATATTCAATTAATTCATTATTAAATCCTTCATCTTGTTTCCTAGCTCTTTTTACTTTCAATTATACCAACCACATCTGTACTTCTTCAATTTAAACAAGTCAAAGGTGATCAAAATAGGATACATGTACAACATTTATAAATTCAAATATTTTAGTTAGTAGTTATTTTATATATGTGATACAAAAGTTTTTGAAAAAATCTAAATTTTAAGCTTAACGGGGGGTGAAATGTATTTAAAAAAAAAATAGGGTGGAGTATTGGGCGAAATTACCAACTGCTGGGTCAAATCCTATAGCAATGTTTTTGCGAAAAATTGACAAATTTGAAAATATTGTATCTAATCAGCCAATTACAGTGCCATATATCAAACTGTGATTTTTTCTGATTGTATGGACAAAAATTTAATTCCCATCAGCCGATTGTCACACAACATAAATATACTTTTGTGATTTCATACCAATAAATTGGGAAACAAACAAGATTGATATTTATTATTTATACTATGAAACCATTTTGATAACAGGCTTTAATTTGCAAAATGGTAACGATCAGCCGTTTTTTTTTTTAAAATTAATGTGCGTGTGTACCTTTGAGTCATGTGCAATGATAAATAAAATGAATGTCTGTGTGTGGGTGTTTGGATTCTAAATTTAATATATATATATTTATACATTAAAACCTTGTCTCTCTATGCATTCTTTATCATGTTCATATAATTAGGGAAATGAAATATATTGGTTATACTGGTAAATTCAAATCACGTAATTTCTTTTTTTAATAAAAATCGAATTTTATCATTCGGAGTAAAAAAAAGAAAAAATTGAAAAGTAAAAATAGATAAGTAATAGTAGCACACACCACCAACAGGTTATTTTGGTCGGTCATAAAATAAATAAATAATAATAAGCTAAACTAAAAAGGCCGCAAAAAGATTCTAGATTAAATTTCTGATTTTTATTATATATTGATTAGCAAACAATATGTAGTGGTGATATTGGTGTTAACAAATGGTAATAAAAAATTCATTCAATCAATCAATTAAATAAATTGGTGATTGAAACAGTTAGATCAAAAAGCGAAAAAAAATAAACTTGCCAATCTCTTTTATTTATTTATCATGAGTAATAATATTTAACGGGCAACTATTATGATTTGTAATAAAAAATCATATTTATCTATCTATCTCTCGTTCGTTATTATTAAACATCACTAACTCGTTAACCATAAACGGTAAACAATTACTTTTTTTTTCTTTGCTGAAAACTTCTCAAGCAAAAAAAAAAATAAATTTAATTTTTCATGTAATACGTACGTAATGTATTTTTATACCCAATCGGGGGAATGGGTTGTTGATAAATTGTCTCCTCCCCGCTCCTTTTGTTTCTCCCTGTCTACTACATATATATATACAAATATATGTTTATGTATTTAAAGCATGTATGTACATGTATGTATGCATGTATGTATATACATGTAAATGCATTAATATTATTTATCAAGACATTATTATAACCGTCAGTTACATATTTACTATTTAATATGAAGATCTAGAATCTTTTTGTTTGTTTACGTGGCTTTAATAATGAAAGTTTTATTTCGGAAGTTTGTGTAACTTACATTACTTAACAAATACACTTCAATCAATCAATCAGTCCAAATTATATTAATGTACGCTATACGTATGTGTGTGCGTGTGAGTAAAAAATAATGGGTGTTTGTTTGATTTGGTTTCAGCATCTTTTCTTATTCGTATAATTAAAATTCAAAATTTAAGAAAAAAAATTTCCAGTCTTGGCTTTTTTTGTTCTAACATGTAAATTAAAATAAATATAACTAACCGGAACGTACGCGCGTTTCAAATCCTTCCAAATTCTATATTTCCCATCAATAAACTTCTTGCTATAGAAACAATAAATAACAACAACAATATTAAATATTATTATTTATTATATATATGGTTGATTGATTGATTAATTAAAAAAAATTTTAAAATTGAATAAAAATAATCATCAATCAACAATCAATTCTACTGCGCCCTTTGTACATTAAAAATCGTGCCAAGAAAAAAATGTACAAGAACAACAAAAATGATAAATTTCTTGTACAAAAAAAAACAAATAAATAAATAAATAAATAGAAATTAGTTTAAAGTAAAAATTGACAGTAAATTAAGTTTTACAAAATAAACAAAAACCAGTTAATTAATTAATTAGTAATTTTCAGAGAATCACAACATTGTAAATCTTCATATCGTAAAGTAAGCAGCAAGTGGTAAATTAGCATTCTCCTATTATTAATTATTTATTAGTCTGTCTTTTTTGATATTGATTTCCAGGTTTAGTAACTGATTGATCATGAAAAATTATTTGATTGTGAAAATAAAAAAAAATTTATATACAATATTATTATTATTATTATTATTATTTAAATAATAATAATGTAAAAAAAGTTTTTTTATATTGATTCGTTCGTTAATTTGTTTATTGTTTGTTTTGGTTAATGGTTGTAGTCACTATTATTATTATTATTATTATTATTATTATTATTATTATTATTATTTATAGGCTAGTTAATAAATAGTAGGAGGTGTTGTTGATAACAGTAGTCGGTCAAGAAATAGGCTTCTGTTGATGGTGTGTTGTATATAAAACGTGTTGTTGTTGTAAATTATTTGTGTTTCAAATTTGATCTTTGCTTAAAAAACTCGGAGTTGAGATTCCGCCACTTAACGCGCGTTTTAAATTCCTTTTTTTTTTTTTTTTTTCTTCGTTAAGTAAGATTATGCAAAAAAAAGAATAAAAAAAAAGAAGAAAATATTAAAAAAAAATTTTATATTATATATACAACAACAACAACATACATATTTACATAAAATTAAAAATAGTTATTTACTAACTCGTAAATTTTAACTACCTAAACAGTTTATAATTAGAATGTTTACTATAAAAATAAATATATCCTTAAATTTTTAAAAATTTATTTTATTTTAGTTTATCATATAAATTCAGACCTTGAGAATTTTGTGTTTTTTTTTTTTTCTTTTTTTTTTACATTTTTTTTTACAAATTAAATTTTTTTTTATAAATTTACCCAATTTATTCATTTTTTTTTAATTTAAAATAATCATCAATAATAATCCCCAAGTATATCTATTTTTTATTTTTTTGAAAAAGCGAAAAAAAAAAATGACGAATATAATAATAAAATTAGAAGATAAGAATGACAATAATAAATTAATAGATAATGTTAGTGATAACGACGACATTATCAAGAATAATGATGATAAGAATAGTGTTGATAATACTGCTACTGATAGTTCTACTGCTGCTGCTGATTCTGCTGCTGCTGATTCTAGCACCTCTGACATTTCTACTAATTCTACTGTTGATGCCTCTGCTCCCAATAAGAATAATTCAAAATCATCTTCCTCAACAGGCTCAGTGATATGTCACACGAATTCAACAATTCCAATAGATGTAGATTTGAATCATGTTTACAATCCACCTTATTCAGTCACCGAATTAATGTCCACTAAACATAAGCAACGTCTCAGTAATTCAAATCATCTCGCTGGTGCGTTCATGAATCCAAACCTTAAATATCCAAAGAGACCGCCAAACTCATTCTTCTTAATGAAGAATTGTTACATGCTAGAATTAAAAAAGCTCGGGTATAGGTTCACTATGCCCACGATTTGTAAACAGTCAAAGGAGATTTGGTCAAATTGTTCTCAACAAGTCAAAGAAAAATACGATGATTTGGCTTTAAAAGCTCTGATAATACATCAAGAGTTATATCCAATCTACTCTCTTAAAGATTATCACCATCATCATCATCAACATCATTACCAACATCCACAACAACAGCAATTACATGATCAACATTCCTCATCATCATCCTCTCCAACATCTCCAACATCTCCTTCTTCCCCTTATAATAATAATAGTAGTAGTAGGAGGAAATCAAAGTTTAAGAATTATGTTTCAATGAATGCCAATAATAGTAATGGTGGCGGTAATAATGGTTATAATTTTGGTAATCATAATAATTTAATAACAACTTTTAGCGTTAATTCCAATTACATCAATTCAATATTTCCACAACCATCATCTACAACAACACCATCATCAATAACTGCCACAAATGCCTCTTACAACAATAACGACAATCATTATAACAATAACAATAATCATTACAATAACAATAATAATCATTATAATAATAATAATATTTCTTCACCAATATCCTCATCTACTTATTACAATCCCTCGCCGTTTTATCATCATCATCATAATCAACAACAACAGCAACAACAACAACAGCAACAACAACAACAGCAACAACAACAACAGCAACAACAGCAACAACAACAACAGCAACAACAGCAACAACAACAACATCCTCACAATAATCACCACCACATGATTACACCTTTACATTCACCAAATCATCCACTCACAACTACTAATTCTCCACAAAACCAATATCATTCTCAATCTCAATCCCATGATCTTCAATCTCATCATCAGTTTAATAATCATCAACATGAACAACATCAAAACCCATACAACAACATCAATCACCTGATCAACTCTGTTAGTCCGGCCAATTTATTACACAACGATTACATCCCAAGTTATTTCAATAGTCACGATTATTTATATTATTCATTGCATGATGACGATTTCTACAACAACAATTCCACCGCCGCTACTAACAATAACAATAATAACAAGAGTGGTAATGATAATAAGAATGTGGACAACACCGCTGATGGTAATAGCAATGACAATACTACTGATGGCAACAGTAATGTTAATGCTGACAGTGATGTAAATATAACCCCAATACTGACCCCTTCATTATTAACTCCTCCACCTGATAATTATTATTTAATGATGGCTTAGAAATGGTATGGATGGTTTTAATATGTTGGATAAATAATATCTTGTATATGGCAATGATGTATAGATTTTATTATTAATTCATTAATCTTTTTTTTAAATTTAATATTTTCTTTTCTTTCTTATGATTTTATTTATTTTTTCTCTAATTATTATTTATTTGGCATATTATCATATTCATTTTTATTATTATATACATAAATATATTTATATATTTATATATTTATATATTTATATATTTATATATTTATATATTTATATATATATAAGTACATACCAAAAGAAGTTTATAATATTGTTAAAAAAAAAAAATTTATATGCTAATTTAAAAAAAAATTTTAATTATATTATAATATGTAATATTTTATTTTTAGAAAAATTTAAAATTTCTTAGAAAAATAAAAAAATTCAAAAATTCAATTGTTTATTTATCCATCTGTTTATTTTTTTAATGGATCTTCTGTTTTGACGAATTGAATTCCTTCCCTCCTTCTTTAATATTAAAGTATTTTTTTTTTAATGCATTGTGTTCATACAATACATACTCATACATGTACAACATACGCCCAAAATAATCTTGGATGGTATAAAGTGTTGTTGGTATGTTTTAATATTAAATATGCAATAACTGTATCACTAATACAATTTTAGTAATAAACTGAGAGAGTGTATATATATATATATATATGTATATGTATATGCGCACACACACACAAGATAAGGATTCTTTTCTTTTCCTTAACTTTCTTAAATGAATATATATATACCAAAAATATAAATATAAATTAATTTACACAAAATCTACCATGGAACTCTGTTGCTTGCCCTTTCAAAGTCTTGGCTTTTTAAATAATTTACTCTTGTTTTATCTCAGCATGTTATGTTGGTGATGATTAATCTTGAACCTGAAATTTTTTGCAACGCAGCATGCACAATCTTATTGAGAATTTAATTGATTATTCCAATTATGATCTTCCTGATTATATGTATAACCTTGCCATATCCAAGCTCAAAAACATTTATCATGATTATGATTTAACAATTCTGTTACTTTTTTATTTTTTAAGTGTCAAGTATTTTGAAGAAGAAAAGATTGCTCCTTTGAAGCTTATCCAAGGAAAGAAAGGATTGCCTATGAAATTTATCAGGAAGAAAGAAAAATTATAACCAATAAAAGAAAATTAACACAGAACCATAAAGAACCTAGAAAGAAAAAGAAAATTTAAAGAAAAATAATTTACTAAAAAATTAAAGATAGATTTTCTAGTTGTAATTCTTTGTAGCTTGTTATTTTTCCTTGTTAATGATTACTCTTGCTTTAGTTGCTGAATTTCTTGGGCTTGTTGATTTATTTCTTGATTCTTGGCTGTCTCTAATTGCTCTAATTTTTCAGATAATTGTCTTTCTCCCTCCATTCTTTACCTGTTTTCAAAGCATTCAAGTGCATTTCACAGCATTCTCAGCTTGTTGCTTTCAGCCTTCAATAATTTTGATTATTGTGTCACTACTTTTCCCATTTCTCAATTGGTTCTTTTCAATTATCTTTATCTGTTCCTATTTCTTCATCAGTTGGCTTGTGATGCTTTATTTCAGCAATGATTTTCTCAATTCTCTTCAACTCTTTCTTTTTTCCTTGGCCAAGTCTTCTTTTTCTATAGCAGCAATCAACTAACTCTCAACACAATTCCTCAAATGGCTAAACAAAAAACGGATAAAAACTTTATCTTTAGTAGTGATATAGTCAAATTTTTTAACTAATATTCCTTTCAATTCTTTGGCTTTCTTTTTTTAATTGTACTACTAATTCTTGATTATTTTCAAGTGCTTGGATTTATTTTATTACCATAATATATTATTTTAGTACATTCATAAAAACTTTATGTTCATAAATATCTGCTTTCCTAATTTTCAATAAAATAAATTCAGCAAAAGATCCATTAGCAACCTCCTGAGTTTTGACAACACCAGTATCAAAAAGAAAAAGATCTTGAGTTCAATGTAGTTATTATTGTGAACTCGGGTGAACAAAAAGCAAAGTGGATGAGCAACCCTAAAAAAAGTTTTATTCTCTATAAAACTTTGCCAGAAGGGGGGATTAGATGTTTCAAAAAGAAAATGTTGATATTTTCGCAGGACATTTAATTTTTAAAAATAAATTCTCCAAAATAGATTTAATGAAAGCCTTTTCCTGCTCCATAGCATTGAGTTTCGTTTGTTATCACAAGGTAATAGTAATCATTATTATATCAGTAAATCTTTATACATAAAAAGTTCAAAAAAGTGGTTTCCTCATTTTTTTGATGATGACGAGTGTGAAAATGAAAATTTTAATAATCAAGATGCAAATAGTGAATTGAGTTTTTATTTAGAAATTCCACAAGAAAATAATGAGCCCTCTAGAATGGTGGAAAATGCGAAAACAACTTTCCAAAATTTTCAAACTTATCAAAAAAGAAAATACCATCATCATCTGTTCCTGCTGAACATGTCTTTCAATCACTGGAAATTTAATCACAGTTAAAAACGTAATTTTTTTTAAAAAAAAATTTTACAAAAACTTCAATTGTATCAAAGGAATTTATAAATAAAGCTCTTTATGATACCGAAAAGCCTGGAAAGATAGCATACCCTTTTCACAACCGCGTAACACTTGTTTCAAAGTGGAGATGCTATCTTTCTGAACTTTACGGTAAATGTCAAAATTTAAAATTAGAAGCGTTTAATTAAGTTAATTTTTGATCAGCCTTGAATTATTTTACCCTGCTTGCTTCCTCTTTTTTGCATCTAGAAAGCATCGGTGGATCTGTAAGCACACTTTACAATACAAATTACAATATTAACTTTCTGCCTCTCCTCTTCAAAGTAAGCTCTGGATTATCAATATCTAATTGATTAATTAAATTCTTTAATCTATCTTTTAAAAATTATTTATGTTCCACTAACAAAATTTTTAATAAATATTGGTATTTAAAATAAAAACAAGGCTAGGTTGCAGATTTCCGTTAGCTTTGAAAAATTCTGGAAATTACTAAGAATTGCCAGAAGTTACGTATAACAATGATAATAATAATAATCAAACCACAGATATATTCAATAATCTATCAATCAATTCAACTATATATGTTATTTTATAGTTCTGGTAGTTTAAGTCATATTTTAAATAATTCTCTGATCTTGATTGTCAAACAAACGAACCACAAATTATTGAAATATTAGAAGAAAATGAATTAAATTTAATACAAGTTGGTTAGTTCAATTTAAATGGTTAACTTATGATTCTAATTCTAAGTGAATGTTCTATAAAACATGTCTTACTCATAAAAGAAAAAATGTCTGTGCAAAAAATAAGATGCATATATAAATAAATATTTATTCAATATATAATAATTCCATAATTATATAGGTTCTACAAATATTTCACATGTCTCAGGATTATTACAATTAGAACATATGAATTCTGTAAGGTAGAAAAATTGGAAATTTCAAGAATAACTATGAAAAATATTATATATAGGAAATTTTCATGATAAAAATTTTAAACATATAATTTCTGTCATGAAAATTGTATATATTTCCTAACTTAATTAAATTGATTTAGTATATAATATTCCTTTTTCATCTGTAGATTGTGAAAGAGGGTTTTCTTGTAGATGAGAAATTCATTAAATACAGTAACTTTAGATATGTTAATGCAAGTATCTTTGGAGGGTCCACCAAATAAAGAATTTGATTTCAATAGAGCATATAGTATATGGAATTCAATGAAAAAAAGATACGGAGCACATGAATAAATTTAATTATAAATAAAAATTTATTGTTTTTATACAATTAAAATTTTTTTTGCCGGAAATCTTTCCTATTGTAAAAAAATTTGTCAGAAAAATGAGAGTTCTGCCGGAAAAAACCGCAAATTAAAGTACCTTTTGTGCAGTGGTAGGTCGCCTGTCCGACATACGATTAGAAGACACTTCATTTCATTCATCACACTGTTTGATTGATATATTAATGCTAGGCTATTTTTACAGTTAAACTACAATCGCGGTTGGAATCCAGTCATGACTGTAATCTAGTCGCAGCTGAGTCACGATTACAAAAAAATCTAACTGACTAGTCGCGACTTATAACCCTCTAATCGACTTGCAACATTAGCCATACACCCCTTCTGAAAATTTAATTGCATGTTGTATCATCGGAGAGTCGGGTCAGGTTAGCCTTGTGAATACAAGGAAGATTATGAATGACCGTAATGTCTTTAAGGTAGCGTAGTATGCTTCAACGTTGAAAATTTTCCGATAATCAAAACGTTATATACCTTCCGCAACAGCCATGTTGCCTTGTAATTGTGAAAAATAAATCGGAATAATAGTGATGGAGATAAAGTTGTTGATCAATCAGGATCGGAAAATGTTGATATGGCCAGTGGTATTCCAGATTCTTTCGTGCTTTCACAATGATTAATTTATAACATAAAATACCAAACAAAATCCAAACCATTTTATTTTACAGCATTCCTCTTAACATCAGAGCCCAAATACAATTTCAGGGCCACAAACCCCACTCTGAATTGCAGATTCTCTCTAGAGTTGTGACTTGGTCACAGAGCCAGCCTTATCTAGAGGTAGGATCATTGCAGGTAACTTGTCAGCCATCTCTGGTCTGAGTGCTGTGAAGATTATTAAAAGTGACCCTGATGATTGATGCAGTCTTAATGTAGCTCCAGGGCCATGCTGCCCCCCCTGGAATTTAATTGCATCATTGTATCCTTGGGGATCACAGGTTGGTTTAGCCTTATGTACATGAGGAACATATGAGAATGACTGCAACATTCAAGATAGCATGTATGCTTTAACGTCTGTTAATTTCTGATAACCAAACATTTGCATATTTGAATGTTACTTTTTCAATAGTCAATGCTGTCATGGCATTTTCTTGTAATTATATACTTAATATAAATGTTATTATTAATATTGATTACGAAAAGCAGAACACCAATTATCTTGAATTTTATAATTATCCAGCAAGTTCTTTCTGCGTTTTGATTTCAATGAGACATACCCATGCAAATTAAAAAATAGCACCTCTGTTATTAACACATCTTCTTTAGGAGACTCACGTTTTGCCATTGAAAAATAAATTGTTTTCCAAAAAAAAAAAACCATATGTGTTTGTCGATCAAACAACAATTCTTTTTTTTTTAAAAAAAAAAAAGACTAAGCATTTATTAAAAGAATGGCGGCAGTAGTTGTCATCACTTGTCATCGTTCTATTTTAATATATAAATTATTGTGTGTAGAAATTGTTACAAAGTATTAATACACTGAATTTTCTTGGGAAAGATTGCTAATTAAAGCTGGCAATTTTATTGCAGACAATAGGATTCTATGTATGTATGATAGAGGATTTCCATATACAAAAGTAATATATAATTAATTTACAAAGCCTGAAAAAATTAAGGTAACAATGGAAAGAAGTAATTTTTTACATTTAATTTTTTATAAAAATAAATAAATTAATTAGTTATTAATTTATTCCTTTAATGATATAAGGCATTTGACATTATTCCTATGAAAAATGTAAATGATTCTTATGAATAATGTTCATTTAAACAATTAATTGACAAGAATCATATAATCATTAGTAAATATATTTGACATTGAAAATATGTATATTAATTTGAATGACTTAACAAGGGGATTTATCAAGGACCCTGATGAAGAATTAATATGATGTCTAACAAAACAAAAAAGAAAGGAAGGAATGATTTTCATAGAAAAATTTCACCAGTTGGCGCAGCATTTGATGTGTTTAGATGATTGGCACCTGGTCTAAAGACCTCCTAAATTTTGGGCAAATTTTAATAGTATAGAAGTCACTTTCTGTCCTACCTTTTTAAAAAGTAGCCCTATTAGTTGATAGAATGTGACTTTAGTTTTAATGTAATAGAGAGATTTTCTCAAAAAAATTATTTGTTGTAGAGTTCTATTCTTTTTTAAAACATGTACTTTACTATGCTCGCGAGGAATTCGTCCACTATGATCATTTCTAAATTTAGGAAAAATTATTACCAAATTTAGACTAGATATTGACTATCGTATCTAAATTTGACAGTAAGAAAACTAAAATCACGTGAAGTCCTATTTTTTGAAAAATTTTATTACATTTTTGAGCGAATTACAAAATTGCTATTTTGAAATTTGGCCGCATGGCGCAGCAATAGGAGGTCTTTAGACGGAGCCAACCATAATAATTTTAAAATTTTATTCCCGATTAGGAAATTTTCTATATGATCCCCATATTTTTGTTTTTCCATATTTTTGTACCCCAAAATGGGTGCGCAAATCGGTGGATCACGATAATTGAACACAAAACTTTAACGGAGCAACAAAGCTGTAATTTTTAAATTTCAATATTAATAAATATCATATAATTTATACAATTTTTGTAATTTATACAATTTTATATAATAACAATAATAAATGTCTATAAAAAATATATTTAATACCAACAACGGCACCTATAGCAGCACATCGCAAAATGTCGTTCCCTACAAAGTATTCCATGATCCAAAAAAACAACTATTAACTCCCGATAATAAAAACGCATATGATATTTGTTGTCCCAAAACTAATTGTAAATGTCTTCTTTTGAGAGCAAATATAGCAACTTGGGTTGACCTTCCTAAAGAATTGGTATGTGACGTCATCATTATATTACATCATTAATTATAAATTATCATTAATAACAATTAATATTATTGTTGTTAATGTAGTTAGAATTACCAAGTAATTTAAAATCTTTGGCATCAGATAAATCAACCAATGATCATAATGATAATGAACTATCATCAGATTCAGATTCGCCACTTCAGGGTTATTGGCAAATAAACAATATGCTTGAATTTGAAAATATTATATTTTCTAAAACTGTGGAAGAAACTGGTATAAAATATCTATTTTGTGCAAATTGTATAAATTGTGATTTAGAACCTTTAGGAATCCATGATACCAATGAGAATAATAGTAATAATGATGATCTTATACAAGAGGCAGGTATATTTCTATTAGCAACTCATAAAGGAAGTTATGGTCTTGTGAAAATAATATCCATGGAAAATAATTACTAATAAATTAGAATTTGAGTGTGGAATAAGAATATATGCGAGGATGAAAGAATTAGAACATCAGCATTTATAAATTAAATATTTACATAATAGATTGATTGAATCTTGTCAGTAAAAAAGCAAGTTCACCATGTGAAATAACAATCGGTGATTTTGGGTTGCTTCTTCTAATGTTAGATCAGATGACATTATTACTTCTCAAAGTGATTAAATTGGTCAAATTTAAACTCTTTACAAAATGTGAAGATTAGGTTGAAGTTTAGTAAGTTCTTTAAATTTTGACATGATTCATTCCGTTTACCAATCCATTTATTGCTCAAACGATTTTAACACTTTGAGAGGACCTATTTATTTTTGATATTTCGTTCTGTTGATTTAGTGTAAATATGTATATACTGTATATTCATTCTTGTATATTATTATTATTTGTATCAGGGTCAATGTTCCATAAAATTTAGATTTTTGTTATACGAAGAAATCTAAAATAGATTGTATACTTCATCGATCACTAGGATCTCATAATCAAAATGAAAGCAGTTAATTTGTTTGGATTGGGGCTTGCCGAAATATTTCATTGATAGTTCGTTTTTTTTATTCCATAATTCAATCCTTACTTTTTGAATTTTCATATTGTTCAAAAAAAAAATCTTTATAAAATAATAACAATAACGAAAGGGAACGGCCTATCAAAGAAATTCAAGTATATCAAAATGTGTGCACACTAAATCAGACACCATACGACAGAGTGTTGAATTATCAGCAAACACATCAAATGGATGTTTGAGCTATTTTATTGTTTTGCTGACAAGAGATTATGCAAACAAATAACAAAATCATGTGTTATATTAAATTAATTAGTTTTAAACGGTTTTTGTTCTTGTTTCTGCCGTGTGTTACTTTTGTAATATTTTCCTACAAGTGAAAAAATGTTTACCATTCATTATATACGTTTTGATAGTAAACGTTTCACTTGTCTCACTAATGAATTACTTTACTGTTTTGCAGGCTGTATTGTTGGGCCTATGAATCGGACGGAAATTACAAAATTAAAGTAGTTAGTTAATATTAATCAATTATTTGTAAATGTTTTTTGATCAAATCATTATTTTTATTTAGTTGGTATTGTGGTTGTTGTGCATCAATTGCAAGAAAATCGTGAAGTAAATGCATTATTAAATGATAAATAGTAGAAAAATAGTTTTAATCAATTGAACGATTTTATTTTATATCTATATTAATTAATATGTAATTTTTTCACGAAAACACTTTTAACTTAGAAACCACTTGTGATATTTTCTTAACAAATTTATAATAAACGATAAGAAAAATATTTTTTTAATGCTATAATTTCAATCGAGTTTTTCTAAATGAACCGGAAAATTGATTTTTTCGGGCCCTGGTACGATTATAAAAAGATACATTTCATTGATTAGAATTCTATAACGAAATGGCACATCAAGAAGGTCAAGCACCAACCAAACCAGTGTGAATTTTTGTAACAGTTATTACTTGATGTCGTGTAATCTTTATCACTAGACTTGCTTGCACTATAGAACTTGAGACAAAGCTGGCCATTTTTACCCTGTTCGGGAAGTGTCGAAAAATATTAATTATTTATTACTATTACTATTACCATACATAGTGCATTCCGATTTGATTTCCATCTATTATAATAATGATGATTATTATAATGATTTAACGGATAATTAATGTTAATATTAATATTAATATGGCTATTCATAACAATAAATATTTATCGAATACGACGGACATTGCTATATTAATATATGTACAACAAAAACAATTTAAAAATATTGATTTTCAAGTAATAAATTTAAAAATTACAAACGAGAATTTATTATTTATTATATGTTTATTTCAATAACGAATTACAAATTAG